CCTTTGACAAGAGGAGTAATTGTGGTAGGGGACCTGAATGCAAAAGTAGGGAGAAACTTTTAGGGGGGTTTGGGGGTAGGTAAGTTTGGAGTGCCAGGTGTAAATGATAATGGGAGCCCTTTGATTGAACTTTGTTAGAAAGGGGTTTAGTTTAGGTAATACATATTTTAAGAAAAAGAGATAAATAAGTATCAAAGTATGATGTAGGGCGAAATGACAGTAGTTTGTTGGATTTATGTATTGGTAGATAAAAGACTGTTGAGTAGACTTCAGGATGACAGTTTTATAGAGGGGCCACAGATTTTCAGATCACTTTCTAGTTGTAGCTACACTGAGAGTAAAATGTAGATGGGATACAAGGAGAATAGAAGCATCAGGGAAGAGAGAGGTGAAAGGGTTTATAAACTAAAAGAGGAGGCAGTTGGGTAAGATATAAACAGCTATGGGAGGATAGATGGGGTAATGAGAGCATAGGCAATGGGGTCGAAGAGGTATAAAGGGGAGGTTTAAAAAAGTAGTGTTAGAGTGCTCAGCAGAAGTTTGTGGTTACAGGAAAAGTGGGTTTCAGGAGGGAAGAGGAGCGATTGGTGGAATGATGATGTAAAGGAGTAGTAAGGGAAAAAAAAGTTAGCATATGAGAAGTTTTTACAAAGTAGAAGTGATGCAAGGAGGGGAAAAGTATATGGAGAAAAAAAGAGAGGTTAAGAGAGTGGTGAAGCAATGTAAAAGAGAGCAAATGAGAGAGTGGGTGAGATGTTATCGACAAATTTTGTTGAAAATAAGAAAAAGTTTTGGAGTGAGATTAACAAGTTAAGAAAGCCTAGAGAACAAATGGATTTGTCAGTTAAAAATAGGAGAGGAAGTTATTAAATGGAGAGTTAGAGGTATTGGGAAGATGGAGGGAATATTTTGAGGAATTGTTAAATGTTGATGAAGATAGGGAAGCTGTGATTTTGTGTATAGGGCAAGGAGGAATAACATCTTGTATGAGTGGGGAAGAGCCAGTTGTGAGTGTGGGGGAGTTCGTGGGGAAGTGGGTTTAAAATAAAAGGGGGGGTAAGGCAGCCGGGATTGATGGGATAAAGATAGAAATGTTAAAAGCAGGTGGGGATATAGTTTTGGAGTGGTTGGTGCAATTATTTAATAAATGTATGGAAGAGGGTAAGGTACCTAGGGATTGGCAGAGAGCATGCATAGTTCCTTTGTATAAAGGCAAAGGGGATAAAGAGAGTGCAAAAAATTTTAGGGGGATAAGTCTGTTGAGTATACCTGGTAAAAATGTATGTAGAGTTATAATTTAAAGAATTAAGAGTAAGACGGAGAATAGGATAGCAGATGAACAAGGGGCTTTAGGAAAGGTAGGGGGTGTGTGGACCAGGTGTTTACAGTGAAACTATAAGTGAACAGATTTAGATAAGGCTAAAGAGGTCTTTGTGGCATTTATGGATTTGGAAAAGGCGTATGACAGGGTGGATAAGGGGGCAATGTGGCAGATGTTGCAAATGTATGGTGTAGGAGGTAGGTTTCTGAAAGCAGTGAAGAGTTTTTACGAGGATATGAGGCTCAAGTTAGAGTATGTAGGAAAGAGGGAAATTATTTCCCAGTAAAAGTAGGCGTAGACAAGGATGTGTGATTGGGCACCGTGGTTGTTTAATATATTTATAGATGGGGTTGTAAGAGAAGTAAATGCGAGGGTTTTTGGCAAGAGGCGTGGAGTTAAAAGATAAAGAATCACACACAAAATGGGAGTTGTCACAGCTGCTCTTTGCTGATGACACTGTGCTCTTGGGAGATTCTGAAGAGAAGTTGCAGAGATTGGTGGATGAATTTGGTAGGGTGCGCAAAAGAAGAAAATTAATTAAAAGGGGAATACAGGAAAGAGTAAGGTTATGAGGATAACAAAAAGATTAGGTGATGAAAGATTGGATATCAGTTGGAGGAGAGAGTATGGAAGAGGTGAAAAGTATTCAGATATTTGGGAGTGGACGTGTCAGCGGATGGGTCTATGAAAGATGAGGTGAATCATAAAATTGATGAGGGAAAAAAGAGTGATTTTGTGCCTTAGGAGTCTGTGGGCAAAGAACTTTGCCCTTGGAGGCAAAGAGGGGAATGTATGAGAGTATGTTTTACCAACGTCTTATATGGGTGTAAAACGTGGGTGGAATGTTGCAGCGGGAAAAGGTGGAGGCAGGGAATGTCGTCTGAGGGAAATTGTGGGTGAAAATAATGAAAGGAATTCGTAGTTTGGAAGTTGGGGGAGGGCGGGTTACCAAAAACTGTTGTCCAGAGGGTGAGGAAGGTTTGTTGAGGGGGTTTGGCATGTAGAGAGAAGGGGAGGGGAAACAGAATGACCTCAAGAGTGTATCAGTCTGTAGTGGAAGGAAGGCGGGGTAGGGGTGGGCCTAGGAAAAGGGTTTGGGGAAGAGGGGGTAAAGGGGTTTGTGTGCGGGGGGCTTGGATTCCAGAGGCATGCGTGAGCGTGTTTGGGGAGTGAATGGAGACAAATGGTTTTTTAAAACTTCGTGCTGTTGGAGTGTGAGCAAAGTAACATTTATGAAGGGATTTAGGGGAAACCCGGGGGCCCCGAAATTTGGGCCTGGAGTGGGAAGTACAGTGCTTGCCTCGAAAGGGGGGGTGTTTAATGTTGGGAGTTTAAAAATGGATGTAAAGCCCCTTTGGAAGACAGGAGGGTGGGATGGTGGTTTTTTCTTTTTTGGGCCCCCCTTTGGGGGGTGGGGTCGGCCGTGTGTTTTTAAAAAAAAAATTTTTATTTTTTTTTATTTTTTTTTTTTTTTTTTTTACTTTTTTTTTTTATTATATTTTTATTTTTTATTTTTTTAATTTTTTTTTTTTTTTTTTTTTTTTTTTTTTTTTTAATTTTTTTATATTTTTTTTATATATATATATAATATATATTTTTTTTAATTTTTTTTTTATTTTATAAATATATTATATATATATATATATATATTATATATATTATATATTATATATATTATATATAATATATATATATATATTATTTTTTTACATTATTATAATATAATATATATAATATAATATTTTTAATTATTTTATATATATATATTAAATATTATATATATTATATTTATAAAATATATATTATATTAATTATTTTATTATATTATATTATATATTTTTATTTAAAAATATTATATCATATATATATATATAAATTATAATATATATATATTTATTTATTTTTTATATATATATACATTTATTATATTTTTATATATAATATATATATATATTATTATATATATAATAATATAATTATATTATATATATTTTTTAAAAATATATTTTTATTATATAATTTTATTTTATATATTTTTATATATTTATTTTTATAATATTATATAATTTTTTAATATTATATTAATATTTTTATAATTTTATTTTATATTTTATATATATATATAATATTTTTAAAAAAAAAAATTTTTTTCGAAAATCTTGGCTTAAAAAAAACAACGCCATCTTTTTTTAGGACAAGCAAAAAATTTTGTATGCAAAAAATTTTGCCAAAAACATTTGAACCCAAAAAAAAAAAAATATATTTACTGTGTTTTTCTAGTTTAAATTATTGTAAACAAAAAAACAAATCTAAAATTATTTAGTTCGGTTAGGCTAAAAAAAATTTTTGTTGTTATAAAAGGTTAGGTAAGTTTTTTTAAGTTTCCCTTTTTTCAAAATTATAATTTTTTTCTCAACATTAATGAAAAAAAATTTTTAAACGTATAAGAAAAATTTTTAGAAAGGACTTAATTTTTTAAAAGAGTTCTTGTAATTGACCAGTTTTACAAATTGGCACAAAATATATATATATTTATTTTTATTTTTATTTTTTATATTATATTAATTATATATTATATTTTTATATATAAAATATTTTTATTCGGAATAAAAACCCAATCCAAATTTTTTCCTTCCTGCTCAAAGTCATTGCATGCCACCTTTTTCCTTGAATTATTCTACATGTTCTTTTACATTCTTATTTACCGTGATTCTTGTTTGGGATGTGTGCAGGCTGGGCCCCAATCAAAGTATGGCAACGTCAACGGTTTCCCGGGGTTTCCCAAAACCCAAAAAACCCTTTGGGGCCTACCCGCGCCCCCCCCGGATGCCAGCCGCCACCACAAAACCTCCCAGGGCGAAACCACCACAAAATATCGGGCCCCTTACTATTCCCAGTTGTCCAATGGCAGGTGAGTCCCTTATCTGAAGGTGTCGATATTATTCATGAGACGAACGGGTACGACTGTGACACACTACCATCATGTAAGAGAGAGCCTAAAGCCTAAACTCCCAAAAAGTTTTCTCCGTTCCTAACATAGATCAGCTATAAAGAAGCATACTCCAGATTTTTAAAATGGAAAATACTGCTGAAACATTTCAAAATGGAAAGCTGTGTATAATTAATAAAAGATTTGTGTCAAAGAGTGGACATTGATGTGGGATACCTAAAAATATTCGATGATCTTAAGAAATGGTTGGTGCAGGTCGGCGACTGGACATGTTAGAGCAGCGAATCAACGCCACAGAGCAGAGCAAAAAGAGCTCTCCTAGACGAGCTCGTACGTCTACAGCAAGATCTTAAGGTTGGTGTATTTTACCTTTTTATAGCACACAGCGCGCTGTGTGTGTGTGTAAATAATCCGTTTTCCACTTTCAAAATATTTTCATTTCATGACAACATTAATTTTACTTTAAATTCATTACTACACGTTCAGTATATTCATATTTTCCTGTGAGGATTTAGCAGTTTTTTATTGAAATTACTCTGCATATTAAATTTACGCATTATGTGTATGTTTTAAGAGAGGGGGGGGGGAAGGGGGGGGGAGGACGGATAGAATTACGGACTACAGAATTAGGCAACTGTGTAAGTGAACTGAGAAATAAATTTGCGGACTTAGATGCTATCAGCAGTGGGAGTCAGCAACTAACTACATGTCTCCTGGCCGCAGCTGAACGTGAAGAAGAACGAGATGGGACTTGCGAGGAGAAAGGACGCCCTATCCCGCCTTGACGCTACAGTCAAGCAGTCGTTCAACAAGAACTTCGAGTACGAGGACAGAATCAAGCGATGTGAAGATGCAATTAAGGTAATTTGTCCTTATGGGTGAAGGAACTTGTATCCAAACAACCTTGGGTACACTCGCAGTGTGTAACATTATTCCTACATGATAATTACATTATTGGGTATACCGGCTACTCATGTTTACCTGTCGTAATTTATCACACTGAATGGATTGCACGCAAGAGGTAGCTGAATATACTGTCACATGGGGATTGTTTTCTCATAGAATGAGTCTGTTCCACTCTACAAGAGAAGATTAGATTAGATTTTTAGATTTTGCCACCGAAGTGGCTAGTTTATTGTGCACCCCATATCCATCCTGTGGACGGTAGCGCGAGAGCATATGGATACACAAAAGGCCCAGGAACTAGGCCCCAAAGGGTTAAACAGGAATACATATGGATTTATATCTACATATCTATAGTTCACTTATCTGTTACAAGCAAATTTCGGAAATTTGCTTAGTATATTTTGGTATCTTATTTTCATTAATAAGATATCTTGACATGTCACATAGGTTATTATACTGTCTGTCTCTGTATTCCTCAATAAGTGGACAATTAAGCACATAGTGTTCAAGAGAGTGACCATATGCCTGATCACATAATTTACATTTAGTTTGATCATCATCTGTGTGTCTCCCAAACTGCCAGAAGTACTTGTAACCAAGCCTAAGCCTGGCCACTACAACATCAGTCAGTCTGTTCACATTGCAAGTTGCTCCATAAAACATACTTATCTACGTTCATGTTATCATAGTGGGTTATAGATCTACTCAGGCTTCTAACTGCATTCCTATAACAATCATTTTCATTATTTACTTCTCTCCTAATATTATTCCTAATGCTAGACACAGTTATACCAAAGTTATATTCTACATTCTCCTTCTCGATACTCTGATTGTCTACAAGAGAATGGTGTGCGAAACACAATAAAACCTGACTTTTATTCTTCACTGGAGTTTACCTGGATAGAGTTCCGGGGGTCAACGCCCCCGCGGCCCGGTCTGAGACCAGGCCTCCTGGTGGATCAGAGCCTGATCAACCAGGCTGTTGCTGCTGGCTGCACGCAAACCAACGTACGAGCCACAGCCCGGCTGATCCGGAACTGACTTTAGGTGCTTGTCCAGTGCCAGCTTGAAGACTGCCAGGGGTCTGTTGGTAATCCCCTTATGTGTGCTGGGAGGCAGTTGAACAGTCTCGGGCCCCTGACACTTATTGTATGGTCTCTTAACGTGCTAGTGACACCCCTGCTTTTCATTGGGGGGATGGTGCATCGTCTGCCAAGTCTTTTGCTTTCGTAGTGAGTGATTTTCGTGTGCAAGTTCGGTACTAGTCCCTCTAGGATTTTCCAGGTGTATATAATCATGTATCTCTCCCTCCTGCGTTCCAGGGAATACAGGTTTAGGAACCTCAAGCGCTCCCAATAATTGAGGTGTTTTATCTCCGTTATGCGCGCCGTGAAAGTTCTCTGTACATTTTCTAGGTCGGCAATTTCACCTGCCTTGAAAGGTGCTGTTAGTGTGCAGCAATATTCCAGCCTAGATAGAACAAGTGACCTGAAGAGTGTCATCATGGGCTTGGCCTCCCTAGTTTTGAAGGTTCTCATTATCCATCCTGTCATTTTTCTAGCAGATGCGATTGATACAATGTTATGGTCCTTGAAGGTGAGATCCTCCGACATGATCACTCCCAGGTCTTTGACGTTGGTGTTTCGCTCTATTTTGTGGCCAGAATTTGTTTTGTACTCTGATGAAGATTTAATTTCCTCATGTTTACCATATCTGAGTAATTGAAATTTCTCATAGACTTATTTTTAGTATAATTTCTTGCAATCATTGACAAGCTAGTTTTTTTCACAGAAACTCAAAACGCCTGCTACTTTCTTCATCACTGAAAAGAAAGAAAGTGGCACATGAAAAAAATGTGAACCTTTGTAAGACTATACTTATTACATATGACTATAAAAAAGCTAAATACTAGTGTAGAAGATTGCTATCCTACCCTCTACCATGGACCTATTGCAGAAATAACAAATAAAAGGCAGGTGTTTTGTGGGCGTGTAGTGTTTTCGGAGGATTTATTTCATATTGTTTGTTACAGGAGAATCGGAATGCCATGCAACAGATGGCGTCCCACACCAACAACATAGAGCGTGCCATCGCCGCCTTTCAACAGGAACAGATGGAAGGTCGCAGTAACAATACCCAGAAGTGAGATGAACCTTCAAGCATCACTCTGTCCCCCTCCTCCTCTTCCTCTTACGATTATCATCTATTGATGCGATATAATTTACTTTTTGACATTATTTCCTCATTTGTGTAGTACTCCACTGTTAATTTATTGGCGTCATCTTCTGTTGTTGATTTTGCAGTTGATGTCAAAAGATACCAAGATTAGTCTAATTAAGTTTACTTCACAAAATGTTGATATTTAATATTTTTGATGTCCCTATCAGTTACTTATACAAACTTATGCTGGTGTCATTAGCAGTTGTAACTGACGTCATCACCTGTTTGTAGCGTAGCGTAGCTACCTGGTATTATCATCATTCGTTATCTCTTGTTAAGTTTAGCTGTTAACTACGACATTAAAAAACTTTTGTACATATATATTTCTCTTTTTACAGACTAGTCAAAACTTCATCTCATTATCTATCACCCTAGCCAACACTAACATTATACACCACCCTATCAACACTAACACTATCCATCACCCTATCCAACACTAAAATTATCCACCACCCTATCACTCATTCTACCTAAACCCCTTCCCAATGTAGACTGCAGGAGTATCGACATGAAGTGATGGCCATGAACCAGAGTAAGGAGCAGCTGGAGCGACTTTGCTTCTCGCTAAGAGACGAGATGCGTGAGACTGCCACCAAGGTGGACACCATCACCCAGGAGTTGACATCTCTTGAGGCTAATATCAGGATGCAAGGCAGACTCCTGGAGGACAACAGTAAGAGAAACTTGGTAAGAAATATTGCAATAAAATACATCTACACACATGTATATATCCAAGACAAGCCACGGGGGGAGGGGGAATCTTTAGCTCAAGTACTTTCACACTTCTCAGTGCGCCATCAGGAGCTATGCAGTTTCAAGGCAGCAACTGAAGGAGTGAGGGGAAGTTTTCTCAGGGTAGCGCAGTGCGGGTTTGTCACCTGCCGCAGTCAGATGGGTTTCAGACCTAACATATTAACTGGTGTGCAGTTTGTGTAGCGGCAGTAACACAAGCTGGACACGAGTTTGTGTTCTGTGTAGAACTGGTGAAGTAAAAAGTATCTTACGTGTTACGCAGACTCCAGTATTGCCTACTCCCATAGTGCCGTTGATGCCCCTGCCTCCCCAGGATAACAAGATGTCTGAGACAGCCAGGCTGGCTCTGGAGGGCAAGTGAGTACGTTCTTCAGTTGCATATAAATAGTTCATTACCACTGAAGATTGTTCAGCTATCAAAACTTTGCGGCCTAGTCCCTGGACCCATTATGTACCTCTGTAATCTTTTGACTACCGCTCACAGGATGGGTATAGGGTGCATAATAATTATATTAAACTAACTAATGAGTTGTTTGCAACTTGTGGTGGTGTATGCTGTATTTGAGTAACATATATGGCGGTGTGGCGTGCTTAGTGTTATTTTAGTTTATTTTAGAGTTTGTGAGTGGTAGAGTTACAGATTTAGGAATAGCCTATAATGTGCTGAAGAATAAAGTCACAATACCGTGACTGGATCAATACACAAATAACCCATATTTAGAGAAAAGCTTACGACGACGCTTCGACCCTACTTGAACCGAAGCTTTCTCCTATGTGCGGGTTATATGTGTACTATAATGTGCTGGGGTGTATAGTGTTAGAATGGTATATATTAACTTAGTGTGGTGTGTATAGTGTTAGGGTAATGTATACTATATTAATATGGTGTGTATAGTGCTAGGGTAATGTATAATATATTATGGTGTAATTTTTAGATAATGTACACTGTTAAAATGGTGTATATAGTATTAATGTTATTGAGGCGTGTATAGTGTTAATGTATACTATGACAGGTGTATACTTGTGATTTATTGACATATATACCCTACTTGAACTATATACTCGTATCAGAGCTATTTATTCCATGAAATTATTTATCCATCCTAGGATCTATCTGTAAATATAATTTATATATTTATTTATTTGAGTTATATCGCATTGATAATTGAGTTGTAATGACTGACTGCAGGATCATCCAGATGAACACCACCATTCAGGACCTGACACAGAGACTTAACCAGGAAGTCAAGAAGAGAGATAAGGTTGAGACGGAAATCAACACCAGGTAACGAACTCCCTCGTTCTGTTCATCTCGTTAGTTACTTTCTCGGTAAATGGACACGTATGCAACTAATGTGACATTTTATTGTGGCAACGTTTCGCTCTCCGGAAGCTTTGTTGAGCTGTAACGGTTTGACAAAGCTCCTGGAGAGCGAAACGTTGCCACAATAAAATGTCACATTGGTTGCATCTGTGTACAGTTACCTAACATTTTGTCGGTAATTCTACCATTATTACTAGTTACTTTCTCCTCTATTTCATCTTTACGCTTCAGTCATATTCTGATATTCTATACTTATTCTTGTTCATATCTGATTCGTTTATCTTATTTTACTCTTTTTATATTCCTATTTCTTATAATTGTACTCTTCCATGTCTTTATTTCTCTATAACTCTTTTTCTCACACTTTCGCCTCTATAAGTATTTACCCACTTTTTGTGTTTTTAAATTTGATCTTCGCATTTCTCCCTTATCTTTGACGCTTTGAGCATTGTGTCCACTTTTCTGACTCGTTTTTAGTCTATATACTGTAGATGAGTCACAGGGATGTCAGGAAATATTTCTTGGGCCTCGGGGTGTCAAAAAGTGGAATAACCTGGGCGGAGTAGCAGTGGAGGCCGACTCCATACAGTATTGATAACAGGTACGATGACTTATAAATGGTGGAAGATGTGAAGAGGTAATCTTAGGTGATCAGTCTCTCAGCCGTGATAAATCTAAAGTAGATGCACAAAGAGACTTATATACTAGAGCCAGGTGAGGCAAAACAATAGACGACGTCACAGGTGATCAGACCTCTCTCATGGAAGTATGTCATGCAACTAGATTGCATGAATTCTCTGTACCAAGATGTCAAGATGCTGCTGTGTTAGACAAGTATTTTTTATGAATGGTATACAAAACCAACAGGTAAGTGAATGTAACACATGTCTAGAACTTGGGCATTCGCAGTAAAGATACAAAAGTATTGCACATGTGACTTATTTATCTGCTTGTCATCTCTGTATATCATTAATATAAAAATAATAAGTTAAAAGAACCAGAATCTGAGACTCGACCTCTGCAACCATAAATAGGTGAATAAACACACGCACACCTTTGTACTCCAGTAGCCATCATCCGCCTCACCACCCGTTATAACTCTCTTTAGACAAACACAGATGCACTATAATACGATCTTTTATTGACAACGTTTCGTCCACACAGTGGGCTTTATCAAATTACAAACATCTACCTGGGTGAATAGTACATGAGTATTTATAGGGTGGAGAGTCGGGTGGAGAATGCTGGGTAGGTTGGATTTGAGAAGGGACTGTAAAGTCCCTTATTTTTCCATCGGGTAGGTATTTTATACCATTTATCTCCATAACTGTCTCTCGCAGGATGAACGAGCTGCTGGAGGACTACAGCCATACCAAAGTAGAGAAGGACAGGGAGTTGCGTGAGTTTGACGAGAAGATGAGGGAACTTCAGTCTGGATTCAGCGCTAGCGAGAAGAAAAGGATTCTTATGGAAATCTCGTCCGTCACCCAGGAGCTTTCTCGCAAGATTGACGAAAAGTATGTGTGTCGCATGCTTTCTATATTTTTATTCCTTTTCGATGGTGCTTTCACGCTGGCGAAGGTCTCTGGATCCGAGGAATTGAAGCTATTCCATTCGTGATCATCTCCCATTCTCTAGGCCTAGCATAACACTTCCTGGTTTAGCGCTTCTCCGTAAATATAATAATAATAATACTTTAATTGCATCACTGTGTAGTGTATCTCGACAGATATTAGCAGTCAGAAAATCTGATTATATTTGACAATGAAATTTTAATTTTTGACATTTCCAGTGTATATAAAAAAATCTTAAATTATCAATATTTAATAGGGAGTCCTGTATGGACGCACACAGGTGCAGCTTGCAGGTCACCTTTAAAAGTAGAGGGATATTTTTTCCAGACACAACGTACTCTCATACCTCTAGAGTGTTCCCTTTCTCTCTGTTAATCGGAACTTAGCATGTTCTCTGCCAGTCATTGGTCACTTGTACTTCAACAATCAGTCATTGGTCACTTGTACTTCAACAATCTATCTCATTTTTTTTTAAATTAGTCCTAGTCCCATTCACCTTTGGGTACTTTTTCTACTTTTACCTACCTTACTGCTTCAGTCATCCTTCATACTCACTTTTGGCATTTCACTAATTTGAAAATACCCTCTTCCTTCGTATTCCAAGAATTCAGTTTCTTTTTCCCACTTCATCGTGTGCAGTCAATGATATCTTGAACTTTAATCTCCATTATCTAACACACCTTCCTCTGCAGCATCTTGCCACTTACACTCAAAACAAATTCCTCTGCTTCTTAAGTTTCCTCATTCTATTTGTCTCTCTCCAAAACTTATTCTCAGCAAAATTTGTTTAACACATTTGTTGAGAGGTAACTGTTGAGTGTGATGTGTACAGAGAGGCCAAGCTGCGGGACGACACTGTACATAAACTGACGGTGATCCAGAACACCCTCCTGGAGGAAAACAAGCGGAGGGCCGACAAGGAGAAGGAGCTGCAGGACAAGGTGGAAGCTCAGTTAAAAGAGGCTAAATTATACGGAGACGAAAGCACAGACTCCCTGAGGAAGCACATTGATGTGAGTGTGTAACTGGTTACCTCTTGCTATATTTCGCTAATCTTTTGATGTGGTAGTTTTTTTTTAGCGAAATGGATCGATAAATTAGTGGAAAGACTCTGTCAAGTTACCAAACCCTAAATTGAGCAAGACATTATATAACTTAAGACCTGCGTCAGCATAAATTGACCTGTTTCTCCTGAATAACAATATCTTCTTCCCCTCTAGTTATGTGTCTCTCATACATTACTTACTTATCATTATTATTTGAAGTACTGTATGCTTGAGAGACAGGTTGGCTTCTGTGCCATACTGTATCATATAGTATGAATTTCACATAGTACATGTGTGACACCCATCTTATGTGATGGAGTATGAGGGGAACCTATCCTGTGTAGTGTATCCAACTGTAATTATTTCATATTTTAATCTTGCAAGATGTCATACAGTTAAGAGTAGCTGCATATTAGTAAAAATGAGAGCAACTGTTATCTGTTTTCAAGATTAAAGTACGTATGATATATATTGTACAGGTTAATTGTAGCCTTAGTGACTCGCATGCAGTTGGTACGCTGTGGACTTAATTGAGTTAGTAGCTGACCATTGTTTGTGCCTGCAGCAACATGGGGAGCAGACGAGAAACAAACACGAGGAGATGAAGAGTCACATCAGTGAATTGGACAATCAGCTAAAGACCCACCGTTTGGAGCACCAGAAAGTGTTGGCTGCTGAGATCACTGACAGACAGAACAGCATCAAGGTACCTAAAAGCCATCATATAATTAGCTCAGTTTGATTCCTAAGTTGTCACAACTACACCTCAAATTGGAGATGAAATTGGACAATGTGCCAGCCCCGTCCTGGACCTTTATTAAGTCAGGTGTCCAGCACGGATAGCAAGATCATTTTAGGAAAATGAATACAGATGCAACTAATGTGACATTTTATTGTGGCAACCTTTCGCTCTCCAGGAGCTTTGTAAAGCCGTTACGTAACCATTATTACTAAGATCGTTTTAGTTTCAGTTTCACTATGTGAATTAGTTGTTAATTGTTCCAGCCACAGTACCGTAACCTTTATTTTTTGTCCTGTGATTTTTAAATACAAATTGAATTTAATTTAAAATCTAATCAGCTCTGATTTCAGAGTGGAGAGAGAACCATGTGTCTACTACTTGCATATCACAAAATTATGTTTAATACCTCTCTCCAATTCTTCTTATGGAAATAAAATATTATAGCATAACGTATAAAATAGTAAGCTTGATACCTTGAATTAAGTCAGTCTCCCTCTTGAGCAATTCCAACCCTGTAGGAAGGAAACCTATAAAACTGCCGTTGCTACTGAACCCGTAGTGGAATGTTTGTTGATATTCTCATCGCATTGCTAAAGTCTCCCATATCATTATCTTGTTTAAAAACACATCCTATATGGAGTTTATTACCTAGTAACTTTGTCATGATTGTGACCAGTTTCTACCTGGAGTTCATTACCTTTGTAACTTTTTCCCGCTATCAAAACTTTGGGGCCCAGTCCCTGGACCCATTATGTACCTCTGTAAGCCTTTGACTACCGTCCACAGGATGAGTATGGGGTGCACAATAAAGGTATTAAAGTATGACAAGAAAGGTATCCTTCGTGATGGCTTTTGATGTGAAAACCATCCTTGTGATGGAGTATGACAGGGAAAACCATTCTGTAAAGTGGAGTGTGACAAGAAAATCATCCTGCATGATTAGTGTATTAAGTAAAAATAGTTCATATTCTAACCTTATTAAATTATTTGTTCAAATGCATATTTCCCAAGAATAAAATTCGTACTTTATGCACGTTTGCAATCTTTTTAGATTAAGTACTCATTCCGTACTGTCTTGATTACTCGTGGCAGGTGTTAGAGGGCAAAGTTTATGACGTGGACGATCGCTCGAGGCTGGGCATATCGGAGCTGCAAGCGGCCATTGGCAACGTCAACAAGAACGCTCAGAATCAGAAACCCGCACCCGACGTCGATGAAGTTAGTTTTCCAACTTTTATATTTTATTTTAACATTTACTTCTAATAAATCTACATGTATATGCACATGACAAACACACACGACGACACTGTTGGCTCACGCTGTCTAGATTGGCAGGGTTTTAGGAATATTTTTAGTGGATAAAATGAATGTCAAGTTGATATTCACCGTTGTGGGTAGCATTCAGTAACAAATTTCTATGCAAACAATATTCTGATATCCATAGTGATTTTATATTAATAAGTCACTGTGTAACTATTGGTATTTTATTTGGTAATTAGTGTAGCGACACCAACTTACAGCTTAGAGAAAGCATCAAAGATTATAATATGTTTCTCTGTGTGTGATCGAGGACTGTTTGTCCTATTTTCATTGGGGTCCTTCAGTCTTGTCCCCAAAGATGCGACCCACACCAGTCGACTAACACCAAGGTACCTATTTGCTTTATGGGTGAATGGGGATATCAGGTGTAAGCATTGAAGGACCACAGTGAAAATCAGACTGACTCCTCGATGACGCACCGACTTTCTTGGGTTATCCTGGGTGACTAACTCTCCGGGTTAAAAATCCGAACAAAATCTTATCTCTTACCAACAGATCCTCAGGTTGAAGGCTGAGAATAATAATGGCATACGTGAACAGATGGCTAAGGATGTAGCTCGCTTGGAGAACCGCCTCAGTGAGGTAGAAACAAAGCTAAAACAGCAAGACGAAAGCATAGACAACAAAATACAGGCTGTGAGTATAGCCGCATAAATAATTGTCGTAATATATATTATGTTACTTAGAATCACTACCTAGTTTAATTAAATGACTTTGCCACTTAATGTGTTAAGTACCTGACCATGAAGACTGCAATAAACTACAATGCTTGATCTCACTAACAGTCCAAGGCTCATGGTCAGTCAGCCAACACCATCATGGGTGACAAGATGCAACAACAGATCGATTCTTTGATCTTCACCCAAGGGCGTCTAAGGAAGGATGTTGATGCGTTGCAGACTAAAGTACAGGTGAGATAACAAACGTCAGGTGGGTGGGTGGGTGTAGGTGGTCCCCATATGCAGAAAAATCAGCCTGAGAGCAAACATTTTTGATCGATATCCTTCTATCTCCACAATACTTGTATATTATTTGTCTTTGTTAGTGTGGTTAAGGGGTTTTATCACTTAGCTCTCTCTTGCAGGATGCTCCCAAAAATATAGAGAACCTGAAGGATCAGTTGATTGATGCAGAGTCTAAAATGAGTGCCAAACTAGACCAGGAGAGGAAGGAAAGGATGGATGACGTAAAGGAACTTAGAGACGATATCGATCGTATCATTGGCAAGGGAGAGAAGAATGCGGCATCGCTGGTTAGCTTGGTGAGTGTGTGACACTTCACCAGTCATTAATTATATGTAAAACAGCTTGCAGAGTGCCTACTTAGGTAATTATGTCCAGATTCTGATGCCTTTGATGTGTCAAGCTTCCGCAGGAGTCTCATCACTACTTCAAATCCTAGTTACAATTTTTCTTGTCCATCTCACCTGATATCTCTGCTCTCAATGGTTTATCAAGAAGAACAGTCTGCAGGTTTCATATCTCAGTGGTACAACGTTAAGTTCACCATCAAAAGAACCAAGATCCCACCACCTGGTGTCATTGTTCATCTAGCGGTAAATACATACGTAGGAGATTGAGACACTTATGCAACATATGGGAATCTTTATTGATAAACATTTCCATATGTTGCGTAAGTGTTTCAATCTTCAGCTTGTTGGTTTAAAAACCATTTATCACACAGATACGTAGGAGTTAGCCGACTATTGTGAATCGCATCCTAGGGATGGATCAAAAGATTCCAACAGAAATAAGCCACACTGGTTTGCTTTCTTCGGGTTGTCCTGGATTGTTTTTGTTTTTTTTTAATTACCGAGGTTATATATCCGAAAAAAATTCTTCTATATTTATTGCTTTCTCCCCTTCCACATACATCAGTGGTTCTGTACTCGCCTATACTCAGCCATATGTGGTTGCAGGGGTCGAGTCTTGGCTCCCGGCCCCATGTAGGGTGTGTGTGTGCATGTGCCTGCCAGTCATCCCTACACTAATATTACCACAGGCGCGGCTGAACCAGGACGTGGACGAGACGCAGACGGGGATGAAGAAACTGGCCGAGGCGGTGCACGTGGTGAAAACGACGCTTTCTACCAAGCTCAAAGATGAGATCAAGCTGCGGGAGCAGGAAAGTGTCATTGTGCGGCGCGATGTGGATCGACTCAACGCCAAGTATGTCGAGCTCAGGCAGATGACCACCGCTGCGGCATCTTAGCTTCCTCAATTCCCTTACCTGGACCTGGAGTTTACCTGGAGAGGGTTTCGGGGGTCAACACCCCTTAGCAACAACAATAATAATAATAATATTAATGTAATAAATATATTTAAAAAACACACATGTTACGAAGTTGTGTTAACTGCTTGTGTATTCTTAAAAAAATCCTAATACTAATCTTTTTATCGTGTTTATTCTATGTAGGTAAGATGAAAGTTACAAATTATGATTAATTTACTTGTAAGAAATAATTCAGCATAAAGTACTGAATGCTTGAAGAGTTAAAGGAATAGGTTTGGCACTCGCAAAACATTATTAATTACCTATTGTTTGTATTTTTTTTTTTTTTTTTTTTTTTTTTTTTTTTTTTTTTTTTCGCCGGTACTCTCCCGGCCCGGGTCTTTTCCAAGTAGTTTTGTATTGTACGTGGATTTTTTTTATACTTTAAAACGTGTGCATTATTTAATTGAAGTTTGAAAATATGTAACTAATATAATAAAACAGCTGGAAAATAATATTTCTTTATCAGTACAGTGCAGGAGAATAAACTTAGAATTAGTTTATCATTAATTATTGCCAACTACAGTTTGCTGCGCACACGTAACTGTTCATTACTCTTGAGTTTTGGGTATAAGGTGACCCGCAGCTCAGCGGTACCATTTGTCCCATGACGTGTTATAAGAGTAACAATCTCTGCTTTACCTGTGCAGGACTCCAGTGTTGATGGTGCCCACAGCTCATAATATGTAGCAAAATATTATTACAATCCAGACTAAGCGCTAAACCCAAAAGGATCCTACAGTGCTGCAGCATAACAGGTCGCAAAGGGTTTTTATAAGTCATGGGCAAATATGTAGATATTACAGAGGCGGGTCATTTCATTCATCAAGATATATACTAGTGGGTAATTTATCTAGTTACAAAAAGTAGATACTGCTTCAGATTTAACAATAAAAGGATTGGTAATTTGCTGTGTTTCTTTGAACCTGGTGTTTTTGTTTGTGACAACATCTTGTGTTTCTTTGAACCTGGTGTTTTTATTAGTGATAGCATCTTGTGTTTCTTTGAACCTGGTGTTTTTATTAGTGATAGCATCTTGTGTTTCTTTGAACCTGGTGTTTTTATTAGTGATAGCATCTTGTGTTTCTTTGAACCTGGTGTTTTTATTAGTGATAGCATCTTGTGTTTCTTTGAACCTGGTGTTTTTATTAGTGATAGCATCTTGTGTTTCTTTGAACCTGGTGTTTCTGTTAGTGACAACATCTTGTGTTTCCTGAATGGGCACAAGTAAGCACATCCAGCTAGTGTCTGACCTTGAGATATATTGTGCACATAGGAGAGATGAGCTTATAACGACGACGTTTCGGTCCGACTTGGACCATCTGCAAAGTCACATTAACAGAAAGGAGAGAAGGAGGGAGTATATATAGGCCAGAATAGAACCATTCTTATTATCTCAGACACTACCAGACATGTGTATATACTGTACTAAGATGCGAAAGAAGAACAGTAAATAATATACCTTATGCAAACTGTGTAAGAGGTGGGTGCATAATGGATGTGTTCAATTATAGTAATGGTGCCAGATTTCATTTTGTTTGTAACAAATATACTTTGGCACAGTTACCCTTTAGCAATGATGACAATGATTTACCCAATTTTAATACAAATAACCCCTTGCCATATGTTGATGACTATGATTGTTTTATGAAAACAGGCCTTCACTTTATTCATGTCAACGCGAGATCACTTTTTCCAAAACTGGCAGAGATTAGGATCCTAACTAATAGAATAGGGCGGCAGTTTTTCCATTTCTGAATCCTGGTTGGATGATACGGTGACTGACGACGAGGTCAAAATAGAAGGTTTCAATATAAAAAGCTTAGATAGGAATAGAAAAGGTGGTGGGGTATGTGGCTACATAAGAAATGACTTAGCTTACATCCCAAGACCTGACTTAAATGACAATAAGCTGGAGATTCTGTTTAGAAGTGCTACTACCGAAGGAAAAAAACCCATCTTATAGGAACTAGTTACGTCCTCCCACCCACTTTTTAGATTTTGCCACCGAAGTGGCTAGTTTATTGTGCACTCCATATCCATCCTGTGGCGGTAGCGCGAGAGCAGTGGATCCCAAAAAAGGTGGATGGCCCCAAAAGGGTTAACGGAATACATATGGATTTTATTAATATTTAGTTACTTATTTGTTAAAAGCAAATTTGGGAAAATTTGCTTAGTATATCTGGTATTTTTTTTCATTAATAAGATATCTTGACTGACATAGGTTTTATACTGTCTGTTCTGTATTCCTAATAAGTGGCAATTAAGCACAAGTGTTAAAGAGATGACCATATCCCTGTCCATAATTTACTTTTTGTTTGATCATCTTGTGTTTTCCCCCAAACGCCAGAAGTCTTGTAACCAAGCCTAACCCTGGCCATACAACATAGTCAGTCTGTTCAATTGAAAGTTGCCCCATAAATCTTATTAGTTCATGTTTCATAGTGGGTTATAGATCTACTCAGGTTCTAACTGTTCCTATAACAATCATTTTCATTATTTACTTCTCTCTAATATTTACCTAATGCTAGACACAGTTATACCAAAGTTATTTTCTACATTCTCCTTGGGTACTCTTCTTGGTAATATCAACTTTATCATGAAGGAGTAATCCAATGTGTGATGGGATCCATAGCAATTGTAATTAATTCCTTTGCCCCTAATTTTTTGGTTTATACCTGGCTTCCCCAATGAGCATGTTGTTGGAGTCATTTATGAGTAAAGAGCCTTCAATGATGACATAAAAATCAGTAATGATGTGAGTCAAGTCGCGCCATTAGGATTGCAAACAATTCATTTTGCAGTGAGACCCCCGTTGTTAATTTTTATGCCTAACTCAAAAAATTTATTATCGTTCTTAACTGGGGGGGTCGCAACAAAGCAATGCAGCCCTCCCAGAAGACCCCTGTTTAGATCCATCGTGTATATAATTTGTGTGTTATTACTACCGGCTGGGTAAAAAGAAATTTCTTTTTGAGATTTGCTCTAACAAGGTTTTTAAGGAAGGGATTCTAGCAATGAGTTCTTGGGAGGGATTGTAGGTATGTGATTTTAAAATGAACAAATCTTCCAGGGGGGTGAAATCTTTTTTTGGCCTACGTGATACAGTTTGTGGGTTAAAAACTTAATGCAATTGCACTTTTTACAACCCTTTTAGATTGTGTGTATTTACTTGGGCATTTGGTAAGATTCACTGTGACATTCTGGTTCGTTTTCAACTTTTAAATACCGAGTACAGTGTTAATTTCAACAATCCTATCACTGTATTAGAAATACCAAGCCCCTTCCCCTCTGTTAAGAAACTTTTGTAGATTGGGACACCAAGAAAAAATCCTGAGAGCTTCATTTTGCTTAAAACCCCAAGGGTCGGAGAGAACTTTCTTAGTAATTCAACAGGGGGGCCCAGTAACAATTAAGGGCCTAACATAGGCTATTACACATTCTCCGATTTCACTTTGCCCCCTAGTTGGGGATTGTAGCCAGCAACAGTTTTGAGAGCATTTACCCTAGCTTTGCATTTCTTGTTTGTGTGGTATAGTGGATTTGTTAAAGGGTACATTCCCCAAGATTCTGTGAGTTTTAACGTGCTAATGTTTTCACCCTGCAAAATAGATGGGTGGGGGATGTCGTTTGTTGTTAATACCTTTGTTTTAGAGGAAGTATTAGAGGCCTAGTCGATTAAAATTGTTTGGAACTTCTTAAAAAAGGTATTCTTTCTTATCCCCTGTTTTTGGGATCATGATTCTTCACAAAAAGCTTTTTGCTTATTTTTTGGGAGGCGGGTAGAGATTTAGGAGAGCATTAATCAGAATATTAAAATGATGGGACTAAAAAATCCCCCCCCTGCGGTGTCCCCTAAAGACATTTTCTTTAGAATCATTCTGAACCCTTTGGGTAAAGGACAGGGATACTTATTTGACGGGTTTCCTATTACCAGCGAATAAGCTACCCCAATATTCTTTTTGGTAGTTCATTAGTAAAACGGTTTTTTCGCAATATCAAATGAGATTTTAGATCAAAAAAGGGGTTTTAAAAACTAGTAGGGTGTGTGCATGGGAAAGGGGGAAATACAGTTCTGCACACTTACCTTTCATGACCCATGAGGTAGGGGGAAAAGTTGGGGTTTTCTGTAGACAGTCTGTTAAGCTCATTTTTCAAAAGTTTTAAAAAGACAATAGTTAAGGAGATCGGCAAATGTATCAGGCGTTGGGGCTTAGGGAAGGCCAATGAGACTTTGGTCCAGGAAATAGAAGAACGCCCCAAGTAACTGAGATTTACGTTCCAACAAGGGTTATAGGCACGTGCCCCTTTGAGTTTTTGGATTCTAGGTTTAAACTCCTCCCGGAGCGTTTATGACCTTTGTTTGCTTTCTAAATTATATGGTAAAGAGGGGAATCACTTTCAATTTTTGGTCATAAAATTAAACAGTTTAAAATTTTTCGAAGTACTTCTAAAATTTTTTTTAATTGGATGGAAGGTTTCATGCCCGGAGTTTTACCAGTCATTTATGAGGGATTTTTTTTTAAGAGGAAAGGGATGAGAAAATTGCCAGTCTTTTTTCCTGGTTATTTTATTTTTACCTTTCCAAGCCAAAATCAAGGGGTGGGCCCATTTAATCACTAACAAATGTTCCCCCCTTTTGTTGCCAAGTTCTTTCCCTTTTTATTCTTGCATTTGTTAGTGCAGCTTGGAAGTTTGGGGTTGGGGTTTTTTCCTTAGGTTGGTATAAATTTCTGGAAAAAGACAAAGGAGGATGAAAAAATTGATCCATGTATCAGAAACCTTCCCCATGAGGATAGCTGGGGGGGCCCCCCGGGGGTTGGGGGGGGGGGGGGTGTAGGGGGAAAAAAAAAGGGGTTTAAAAATTTTGAAAAAATTTTAAAATAAAGGGGGGAATGAAAAGGGTTTTTTTGAAAATAAGACAGGAATAAAAAAGGGGGTTTTTAAATAGTGTGTGAAAAACTCCAGACAGGACCCAGAAGTTTTTAAATTTAAAAAAAGATTGGAAATTAAAAATAGTTTTTGGTTTTAGTTTTGGAGGTTTTAAAAAACCCCCCAAGTGTTTAACCAGCGTTGTGTCTTTAAAAATGGTTGGGTTACTGAAGTGGGGTGGTTGAGTTAGACTGATGCTTTTGCCCGGTGGTTGCCCTGTTTCCTCCTTAGTCAAAGTCTATGTGGTTGGGTTTTTGGTTAAGTGGGAGGGATTTATTGTGGGCCTGGTTCTTCTGCCTTGTTCTTAGTTCTTTTGTTTTTTATTTAATTT